AACCCTTTGGACGTTAGAAAGCCTTCCCCAGCCTTAGCCGATCCCCGGCAGAGCGCCTGATCCTCGGCTCCTTGTCTTTGTGTCGGAGCTGCTTGCTACCCGCTTTCCCTGTCTAACCAAGTTCTGCGTTCCACGCCATTCCAACCGTATCCCACCCTTTACCACCCAAGTTATTTCTAGTCATCCCTAGCAGGCAGGATTCCCCTGGGCCTGGACTGCAATTGCTTCTGTGGCTCAACGCTTTCACTGACTTTACCCCCTCGGGGGATTAAACGCGCCCGCCCCCACGACCCTCTTGTTCCGTGCGGGTATACTGTTCCCCCGGCCTGCAGAATGAGTTCCTTTGTGGGGCACTTGGTCCATTAATTAGAAAATTGCCTTCGTCTTAGATGCTGGTGCTTCAGCCTAGTGAGAAAGAAAGTGGAATTGTTTGTAAGGCTTAAAGGTTCCATTGACAGCAAATATGAAAAACATATATAATGCAGCAGCTTTCCGCACGGGCGGTTGTTAAACATCTGAATGCCTCTACTCTATAGAGAACGCTAGCTCACGTTTTGCTAAGTGGTTTGGCCTTTAAAAGGTTTGGTGGCTAGTTAATGTAGGTAGGTAGTCCTCTACTTGTAAAGATGCTAACTTAAATTGCGGCTCTACCGGGTTTTAAATACGTCTGTAGCTTCTCATTTAGAACAAATTCCACATTCCTTCTGATGAACTATTCTTTCTGGGTCCCCCGCCCCCCGCCCTCCAATCAGTGCTGGCGCCCAAAGGAAACACTTTTTTTTATTTTTTTAACTAAAGGTTACACGGGTATGGAGCCCCCAGTGCTTTGCGAAAGCCGTCCCCTCGGGCTGGAATGTTCTTTGTCTCTGGTAAATGTCTATTCATCACTCAAGACAACCCCTTCCTCCCTCCCCTTAATTACTTCCTCCCCTGTGCGCCCTCAAATTCTTGAACTTATTCATGCGGTATTTGTTAGGGGCCTGCTTTGTTGCCCACCCTATGGCGGGATCTGGGTTACAAAAGGTGAATGAGACTTGAGTTCAGACTTTGAGGGTCTTAGGCTGGGAAACAGGGGACCGACCTGTTGGAAAATGGTATGAAATAAAGAAAATGTGTAAAGTTCCATCCTGCACTCACTTCATAACCCCGTGTGTCGCCCCGTGAGGTTCTGAACGAGCGTTTATTTCACGCCATCCCCGAAGAAGGATTACCCTGGACCGCGTTAGGTGCTCTGATGACCCTCTCAGGTGCTGGCACTTTTATGGTGTCTGCTGGGTGGCTCCCAACTCCGGGAGCGTGGTCAGAAGGCCACAGGTTAGATGCCCACAGGTTCGGCTGACCCGCTGCGGTCCTCTGGCCGATTCTTGCTCGCCTGCATGGCTGGGTTTGGATGTGGCAAAGCCTGAGCTGCGGTGAACCAGGTGCCTAAGAGAGGCCTGCAGCGCCCCCGCTGGGCCAGCCGGCGCTGTGTCCCTAGCTCGCTCGCTCCTGAGCCGTTAGATCAGTGTGCAGCTCGGAACAGCACACAGGCAACACTTTGCAAATAGTGTGGGAGATGCCTTTTAAAGGATTATGGATTTAAAAAATCTTCGGCTTTGCCCGTACCTCTAGGGTGTTTGCATTGCGATTGTGTTGTGCGTAAATAAAGGAGGCTTGTGCTCCTGATGAGCGGTCCCCAGCGCCGCAGCAGCTTCGGGCATGCCGACCACGTCGTGCTGCTGCAAAGGAGCCGTGCTGGTGCCACCGTGGTGATGGTGGTATCCTGGGCTCGCTTTGTGTGGCCGCGGCCCTTCCGTGAATGTGTCCTCTTAGCCCAGGGGAGGATTCAACAGAACTTGTCCATTCCCTAGTCATTTAGTGTGTCCTTCCTTCATTGTTACCGCAGGGTAAGGGCTTGGCGTTGCTGCGCTCTGGTAACCCGCTTTTTCGGATGCGTAGTCAGTCACTCCCAGCACTCAGCACCCATTTAGGATGTAGGGGGGAAAAAAGTGGGTGTCACGATGAGCACCCTAGCGCCGAGGCTACCTTCTAACAGCTACCTTCCGGGGTTGGGGACCAAGGGAAAGGTCGGGGGTCTGGGTGGTCTCACATATTTGCCATCTTTTGCTTGAGGCGTTATCACACGGGAAAGGGTTTTTTTTTTCTTTTTTTCATCAAAATGTAGGGTTCAGAATTAGAGATCTGTGAAGAAAGAGG